GTCTGCTCTCACCACACCATCAGCCCCAACGGGTTGATCTCTGACGAAATCTCAGCTGAGTACGGATACAGAGGGCTAGTTTCGCATATTCCAGTTTACGCCGTCTCTGGCGTAGACGAGATATCCGGTTGGCTATAGACCAAAGGGCGGGTGTACTGCTCATCAGTCCGCTCCATCCTCCTTTATGGCTGTGAGAACTGGCCACTGAGAGTGGAAGATATGAAAAGATTATCTGTCTTTGATCATAAGTGCCTACGTTCTATCTCCCATGTTAAGTGGTAAAATAGGGTGGGCAATATTGAGGTTAGGCATCGAGTGATACGGAAGGAGGGGAAATCAATAGACGAGGTTGTGAAGCTACATCGGTTGAGATGCTTAGGACATGAGTTACGCATGCATGCTCAACCATCGATAGCATTCCTCGACAATGGACAATGTTAGCTGACATAGGATGGATCAGGTTGGAAAATAGCTAGTGGTGGTCAAAACAAAACATGGCATGAGTCAATGAAATCCAGAACAGTTAGTTTAAGCCATGTAGACTTCCTAGCTGGGGTCCTCAGGACGGAAAAATCAATGGCTGGAAACAATCGGTGAAGTGGCTCAAATTCCTTCTCAATAGCGCAGATGCATCCACTCCTTGTGACTTATAATTTCCGATGAAACTATATTGTTCTTCGTTACTCATATACGTTTTGTCTCATATCCCTGTCTACTGTCTCTGTTATGCTTTTCTTGTACTTTCTTCTCTTGCTTTGTGTGCTACAAGGAGGGAGTGTGGCGACTTGAACTGCTGGACATCGGTGCAAAGTTCTATTTCAAAAACAGACAGAGACAGACATTGTTACTATTTGAAAAATCCTAACATGCAAAACATCAATTCACTGTTTTGTTTTGTTTGGCAACTGTTGATTATGCAAATAACTAACCATAAGAATGAACGCATAGTCGTCAGATTCAAAATCATGTAAGTTGTCGTTCATTCATCATATCTTGAAAACAATACGGTAGTCAGCAATTCCAATGAGTTTGCAGCACATAATACTAATGGGCACCAGTCTACATCTTGAACACAATTCATGGATTGAGTCATAACTTCTCGAAGCAACTTCAGGACATTCATTTACTCCGACGAGTTGCTGATGTAGAGCAGCACACAACCTGGAAGTGATGTTTACTAACAGATGAAAATAGCAGTTGGATTCTGTTTCAATGTGACATGCACAACTTAAGGTCCAGTTTAATTGCGGAAAAAAATACGGAGTTTATAATGCCAGAATCTCGAAATTAAACACTCATTGAAATCCACTAGTTACTTACTTACAGATGATCACAACGAGCAAAAAAATCACAGGAACTAAACAAATTCCTCAAAAGCTACCTTACTGAAATATAAAGAATATTAGTGCATAAATAACATCACGCCAGTCAAACATAGTAACTGAATATCAGTGGGAAAGAAGATACACCAAACTTTTCAAAAAGAATATCTTATTTCAGATTAAAGCGAAAGCTAGATACCTAAAGATAAATTGTAAGAAATAATGCCTACGCTACTTTGTGTTAATTTTGGCGTTGTTAAATAGGATGAAACAGAAACTTAGACAGTATATACCTCGAGTTTTAATGAATGGTTATATGATATTTAGAACCCCATGATTTAGTTTAGTCAGCAATATTATTTAATTTGTGCTTAATTTTGCGTCCACCGTTTACACAAGACATAAAATATTCAAGTGTTGGTTTGTAGGGATTTGTTTGGTTTCTGGATTTCATCATGAGCTGACATTAGTTAGAGAACCACTGGAAAACCTTGGAGTACTGGACAGCTGTTTCATCCTAGTTTGGGACTCTTCTACATAAAAATATATTTGAACAATATTTAGAAACCATATACAATTGAGATAAAATGTTATTACGAGTATCTAACTGTGAAAACTGCTTCAGTTCAACACAAGTTTTATTTCCGCATAAAGGTGAAAGCAATCGTACAATGAAATACCAAAGAAGATGTATATCTCAGGATGAGAATGAAAAATACCATTAAGTCTTGTGATGAAACAACCACATTCCAATATCAAAGCACAGAAAACTTCCGAATTGTATATTTTCTTGAAAAGAAGCTTATTTTCTCTCAACGATATTAGGTAATGTTTACTATATTTGATTACTGAGCTGAAAATAAGAGAAGACAGAAGTTGACATTATGCAAACAAGTGAAGAGGCCTGCATCTTTCACTATCATACATCAAGGAAAGTACGTAACATTAATACAAAAACTCAATTGAACTGAAGTAAAAATTATGCAATATCCTGCAAAGAAGAAACACACACATAAAATTCAAATTCATGCACAACTTACATTATCAGGAGTATAGAAAAATTGTATGCCCCTTATTACCATTTTGCGTCCATCTAAGTTATCACAGCAATCGTACAAGCATGATATTCAGCAGAAAATTCAATGAAGACATTACAACTGAACCCGAATAGCACAGTGGTGACGTACGTTATATAAATTCCTTCGAGGTTACACATGCACCTTGTTATTGACTGGTGATGAGCACGAAACTTAGATCTAGTGCTTCTTGTTGATTGCCTCCAAACCACCAAACAAAATTTAACCTAAATCTAAGATATTGCGTCGGTGGCACAGTGGTTAGGACTCTCACCGACCATGCACATGGTCCAAGGTCCGATCCCCTCTCGACCCACACCTGATATCTATGGTCGGCCTGCAAAATTTGGGCTACCGATATCCATGCTGAAAATTCCATACTTGTACCAAAAATACAGTGTGGAATCAAGCTGTAATCAAAAATTAAAAATGATACATGGCACTGAAGTAATTTGACACACTGAGCAAGTCACTTAACCAGTGTTATTAAGACCAGACATTTCATTTAGATTTTAACAGGCTTAGAGACACCCAAATATAAGTGATTATAATTATTATTACCATCTTCGATTCAATTAAAAGCCAGTAGTCTTGATACATTAATCCGAACACGTGAAAAAGCGAAATTATTAAAACATATTACTTAATTACAGACAGTAGTATGAGTTTGTAAAATTCCAAATTATAAAGGTCACTATTGCCTTGGAACAGTGAAAATAATCTCGATATTTTTTTTTACAAAATTTTCGGCAAGATTTTTCTGCTGACAGTATTTTAAACTAATACATAAAGATTTAAGTAGCACAACTCCAGAAGATTAAAAACAGATTATGTATCCCTATATATATATATATATTTCTTAATCTGATATCTGTTGCTAATCACTTTAGTTTATAAAGCTGGGTTGTTGGTCTTTTACTAGATTTCTTATTCTTAGGGTAGGGATACATAATCTGTTTTTAATCTTATGGAGTTGTGCTACTTAAATCTTTATGTATTAGTTTAAAATACTGTCAGCAGAAAAATCTTGCCGAAAATTTTGTAAAAAAAAATATCGAGACCAACAACCCAGCTTTATAAACTAAAGTGATTAGCAACAGATATCAGATTAAGAAATATATATATATATACGATGTTTTGACCTCAGATGATTTTACCAGTGCTTCTTGAATGTTATTTCATCCTACATGATACGTTGAAAAATGTCTCCATTATGGATAAGGTATTATTTTGATAAACCACTCAGTGTTATACAGTAATATTAACTGATGACGTTTCGAGCACAAACCATTGTTTCTCATAATCATATTCAGTCACTCACACAACTTCATTCCCTCATTTGTATTCATGTGTGGAATCGATAAGATATTGGATTAAAAATCCATATGAGATAACGTACATTCAGAAATATTAATACGAGTGTTATTGACCAATTACAATTAGATGGGAAATAAAACGAGTGTTTTTATAGTCATAGTAAGTTATTTGTTGGAATGTTGTGATTTGTTTGAATTGAAATAGAATTTTAAGATTATTTATTATCCTCTTCTGATTTGACAGGTGGTCCCTTTGCTTTCATAGCGACTTTGAAGGCCGATATCTCTGAATTATAGCAAGGTTATAAGGTAGTTGAACGCTTAGATGTATACTCTGACAGCTGACCAGCGAACTAACCAAACCTGAATTCTACTAACTAAAAGGATACACACGAGAACTAATACAATCAGCGACAAAACAAGTAAGTACACAGCGAGAAGTGACAATCTCCCAACTGATGACTTACTATACAAACTAATAACAAAACTAGTCGTGTCCATCTTTAAATTGAAATTCACATTTTTCAATTTCAACTGGATATCCCGAGCTACTATTAATCATTTATACGTGATCAATATATAGTAAACAGACAGACTCATAAATCAACAGACGATATTACGATCAACAAAAGAGACATGCTAGAGCAGAGAGTGATTTATTTAAAACCTTAAAGATAGTGAAGAAAAATGAATATTTCTGATCCTGATATACAGCGTTTCCAGTCATAAATGGCTTTGGATAGTTAATATCAATTGAATATTATTCTTTGCATACGGCAAACACCTTTGCTTCATTTTCCGAAAAGACCCATACACAGTTTCTTTAACCTAACCATCACACTTGTACATTAGACCCAGCAGTTTAAAAAGTCACAAATGCAGCTTCAAGACAAAACTAGCAGCTGCCTGTAATACGCATGTCATAGGGAACCGAAATGCAGTTCAACATCTACTGGTGAAAATTAATCAAATTTTTAAATTACACCTTTTTGACATTTTGTTACCTCTTATAATCTATATTTAAATTGTCTAAGTCATATTTTTCCAAATAAATGATAGTTTAACTGACAAAAAATAGGTTTGTGTTGAGGAAAAGTTGTTCTGTATTGTGATGTTACTTCAGTGAGAGTTTGTGTGAATAATACAGCTTGAATAAAGTATCAACTGATGCGACTAATAGATCAGCTAGCATCAATTCAGTTTATTTTTTTCGATCAAATAACCATTTAGTTGCACCACAATGATGCAATCAATATAACAATCGCAACATTACATCAGCAAAAGAGAAGTATATAATACATAAGAGATGGATATTATGCTGTATCAGTACAAAATAAGCGACCACGTAAATGAAAGCATGATTAAAACGACTCATTTTCCTAATAAACTATCTTAACTTCATAAAAACATCACGATAAGCTGGAACTTTGTATATTTATTGTACAATAAAGGTAATTATTAAAAGTAGTCTGAGACTGAGAAAAACACCACTTTTGAACATATCCCAAGTAAAAATGCATCATAATACATGACTTTCAAACTACTTAAAATGGTTGTCTCTACGATTGATAAAACAGTAGTAAGGCCAGTCACAAATTGGGAGATTAAGAATTTTTCCCTATAATTTAGAGATAAAAGAGCTATTGCGGGTATGGTTAACATTACCCAGTTAAAAAGTGAGGAAATATTTTGACGTCATTGTGTCAACGTTTGTCAGATTTTAGCATTTATAAAAGCACCAACCCCCGTAAGGATTCCTCCTGTCATATTTCGTCAGTAATCTTAGTATTCAGATTTTATCACTGCCATTCTGATGAGACTACTACAAGGGATGTTGAACTCTAAAACGAAATGAAACGTAGTTTAAAGATTAGTAAAATGACCTCCATTTAATAAGATTTTTTAGGTGCTGCCATGTCAGCTCCAAATGACTACAAAAATCTTGAACTTTAATTACCAACAATAACAAGTTTTTCTTTTTCTGGAGAAGGTCTTCATAATTTAAGAGAGTATTTAGTAAGCGTATTGATTAAAAGACAAACTATTTAATCTGCTAATGATTGCTAATCATAACCAAGGGATTTTTTTTCTTAAATTCTTTATTTATTAGAAGGTAATTACAATGGATGATCGAGAACAGCCGCATGCAGAAGTTGTATTCATGGGAGAAGGCAGAGTGGGAAAAACTGCCCTAATTCAGAGAATAATCAAAGGACCAAATTCCAATATCTGGGACGATAAATATGAACCGACTATCGAAGATTCATTTATTCGAGAGTTTGTAGTTAAAGGAAATTTGTGTCGACTGAGACTTATCGATACTGCAGGCAGTTATATGTTTCCAGCAATGAACAGACTATGGCATCGAAGAGGTTCTGCTTTTGTACTTGTTTGTGCTAGAGATGACGCGTCAAGTTTGGATAGAATTAAAACCATTCTGAAAGAAATCCAAGAAGAGAGACCAGAAGACTACAGAAAATTAATTATAGTTATAGTCGTCAACAAAAACGACATTAGAGAAAGTGAATGGTTAATAACAGATGAAGAAGTAGAATCAGTAGCAGACGAATCACAAATACCATTTAGTTCGATTATTTCAGCATCAGCCCGTGATAACTACGGTGTCATAGATATTCTAAAAGTGATGTGGAAAAAAAACCAAGAAGCTGGAGAAAATGGAATTATTTTTGATCCGTTGCCTCCTCATGTTGACCTAAACGATGGCAGAAGAAGAGCAAGTGCGTTTGCAGTGCTCTTTAGGAACTCATCAACCAAAGGAGCAACAGTTTTTCATATTGATGGCAGAGAAGGTCCGAGACATTCGTGTACACCAACAAGCAACAGATTAGCAATTAGTACGAGTACAAATTTAAGTAATGAAAGTTCGTTTGGAACGACATTTATCAAAAAACTTGGACGACTAAGTCTTGGAGGACATCGGAATACCAAACGAGACAAAACCAACCTAGAACCTGCTGTCATTAAACTAGATTGTACTATATCCTGAGACTATGTTATATTTTAAAAACTGATCTGTTATTTGAATAAGTGAATGCTTTTTAAAGATTTCGAACTTTTCGCCTATCTAACCGTAATGAAAACTAACTTTGATGTAAGTCTATACCAAAAATGAATGCTTATTCAGTGTCGAATACCGTAAGCGCTACACAAAAGTGGAATATTTTCCATTCGTATCAGACTCGTGTACGACTTCTGATGTAAATCACGGGAGCAAGTTGTGACAAGAATGATAAATTAGCTTGATTCCAAACAAAACAGGCCAAACAGACTGCAATCACAATTTTGTAGGAGCATATAGCTTAATGACAAGTTACCCTTAAAATCCTCTTCAGTACTACTGTTTTAGATACAGAAAAAAGTTCAGGTGTATCGATAAGTACTATTTCCATTAAGCCAAAGGTTTACGAAGTTATAATAATTTTATAATCGAACAAAGCAAGAACTACAGTTTTAGCAGAATAAAATGGTACCATCTTTTATTTTGTTGCCTTCTCGTCAGCTGCTTACATGGCAAAGACATTAATAAATATATCTACAAAAACAATTTTGACATACTTGCACAGAATTCATTTTAAACAAAAATAAATCGATCAATATACGCATACAATATATATATATATATATATATATATATATATATATGCAATACTAAACACTATTCCGAAAAATAATAATCATACATAATGGAAACTTTTAGCGTTTCGCATTCGGAAGAAAGAGAGGTGAAAATATCCAGTTACCAGGGCAAAGAAAGACTGATAACCGCTTCTTTCTGGAACCATAAATCAGGTTTCAGGCGCTTGATGGAAATGGCTTCAGCAAACTCAAGCAGAATTGAGCTCTTTTGCCTATTGATAATTTTGAAGGGCTTTTCGACGTCCACCTCATGACCCGTGTCGAGATGCCTGGCGATGGCACTTTTTAAAGCATTTGTTCTCTTTAGACGTAAGCTTTTTCGTAAATGTTCAGAAAATCGCAGATATGCCCTACTTTCTGTTCTTCCAATGTAAATGCTCCCGCAGATACATAAAAGATGGTACCATTTTATTCCGCTAAAACCGTAGTTCTTGCTTTGTTCAAATTCATTAAGGGGAATAAATGTATGAAATTTTATAATTTTTTTCCTTCACATTCCCAGTGGAACATAGGGCTTCAAGCTAGTGGCTTGAAGTTTCTGTAGCAGTGTTTAGTTTTACAGGATGGGGTTGCTAGCCTCATGCCCAACCTTTCTTCTTTACCAGCATTATTTCTTGCTTAGCGAGGTAAAGGATTGCGTCGGTCGGGGATTGAACCCTGGACCATGTACATGGTCGAAGTTACGAAGTTACATGAGTATAAATGACTAAACCTTTCTGAGGAGGATTTGATAAACAAATTGTAAATCAAATACCTTGAATGAATCAAAGTAAATTATTGTCTATAGATTATTTTACAAGGATACAATTCTTATTTGTTTAATTCCACATAGTAACGAAGTTGACACTAATTTTCAACTTGATATGAAAGTTTGAAGGAACGAATATATATTACAAGGGGCTAAGAGACAAGATTGCATTCATTCGATTCACCTAATTTTCTTCAGTTATAAAAACAGTTATTTTAATTTTCTTTCCATGCTCTTCTTGTTCACATCTATAGTTCGTTTAAAATAACTATTTTACAATTATAATCCTGTGTAATTTTTTGTTTCTATGCCTCTTGTAATCTATATTCACTCCTCCTAACTAACATCTCAAGTTGAAAATTTTGATTTCAATTTGTTTCCATGCTCATTTTGTTCACACCTGTAATTCGTTCTATCCCTGCGTTTCTAAGCCTCTTGTAATTCATATCAAGTTGAAAATAATTATCACCTTTTATTCGACTTTAAAATTATTTCTTCAGTTATCAAATATTAATTTTGCATACGTTGTAACTACTTTCTAATCCTATGCAATCTTGTCTCTTAGCCCCTTGTAATATATATTCGTTCCTTCAAACTTTCATATCAAGTTGAACATTAGCGTCTAGGCAAAAACATATCGACATCAGAGACATTCATTAGACTATTTTAATTCACAGTAAGAAGTAGAACTAAAATATGAGGTAGTTTTATAACACATAAGCACTAGGATATTGGAGTTAATAAGTCTTATTATTCAAGGAGAGTACATCTTGCATAGGCCTGTAGACTGTGCTGTGACTTACTATTAGGTAATAACAGCAGCAGTGACTACAATGCCAGTATAATAATATTAGCCAAGTGAAAGGAGGATAAACTTTACAACAAAAAATCTGTTAATTAACCCCACCTAGGAGGAAAATGACTTGACGTAGGTGGGATACAACGCATGTGGAAAAAATATATACAAGGAAACTACAGAATAAGACAAATTAGAATAAGTTCTGTAATGAAAGTCTATATCATTACACCTCATATCCTAATGCTAAGTAGATTATAAGATAAAATGCCATTGCGATTGGTTCTTGTTTTGTTTGTTCCCATAGTTTCTTGTTGGTGATTCTTTCAGGCCCGGCCATCTGATCTTCAGTATCGAGTGGTGACAGTTGTTGATAAAGGTCTGCAACCTGTTGGAAATATTCTTTGTGACCCACCAGGTTTCTGATCCGTATACAAGAACTGACTGACTTGACGTTTGTATTGAAAATCCGACAGAATTTTGTTGGTGATGCTGAGTGACAGCAGAAGATTTCCAGATTGGTTTCAGGTTGATGAATGTGTTTCTCTCCTTCCCGATTCTCGCTCGATTTGACATCCTTGTCCGTTCCGACTTCCTAAAGTTGAGACAATGCTCCCTCCCTAGATAAGTGAGTGAATGAAGTAACCTCATTCAAATCCCTCCCGTTGATGGTGATTGGCGCTGGATGTTGCTGCTACTGTTGTTGTTGTTGTTGGTTGGTTGGTTATTTTCATCACCTCCGTCTTGTCTATGTTCACTTGGAGTCCTGTCTTTACTGTCTGCTTCTTAGACCGGTTTGTCGGTTTTCGCTTGTAAGTCTTCGATTTTGTGATAGTGACATCAAACATAAATCATCCACGCGCGAAATCCAGGTCTTCTAGGTTCTTCACGTCGGTTCAGGATATTCCTGTCTTCTCGTTTCCAACTGTCTGACGCATAATCCAGTCAGTCCACCACAATTAGGAATATCATTGGTGATAATTAGCCATCACCCTTGTCTGACTCCTGTGTTTACTCCAAACGCCTCGCTGAGTTTTCCGTTATGGATCACTTGACATGTGCCGTTGTCGTACAGCTGTTGAATAAGGTTGGTGGATATTTGGGGTACGCCGTAGTACTCGAGTAGTTTCCAAATTACTTCACGGTCAACGCTGTCGAAGGCCTTCCCGAAGTCTATAAAGTTGAGGTAGAGGTTTGATTACCATTCCATGCTTTGTTCTCTGATGATGACGCGTAGAGTTGCAATTTGGTAAGAACATGATTTACCTTTCCTGAATCCAGCTTGTTCTGGTCGGAGATCTGTATCCAGTGCGTCCTTTAACCTCTCCAGGATGATGCGACTCAGAATCCAATAACACAAAACCTGGTACAAAATCAAAGAAATTTAAGCTGCCCAATTTCATAAGCCATATAAATAGGTGCAGAAAACCGTGTTAATATACCACAGTGAACAGATATGTACAGGAGAACGACGAAAATATAACCGATAACAGGAGTCCAAAAACGAATAATACAGTCATGTCATCAATTATTTATAGTTACCAGTTTCCGCAGTGCTGAAGACGCCAATTAAACATTATCCATTTTCCTGTATGGCTCGAACCTACAGTGAAAGACTTCATTTGTCTGCCCACCACTAACTATTTCCCAACCTAAGCTTATATCACCCAACACCACTTTTTGGCGAAGGCGACGACTTGATCTGTGTAGCACATGTCTAAGTCATTCTAATCGATGCGTCTTCACAATCCCATCAACTGACCTCCCTTGTTACCCAAGCCGAACGTGAGTAAACTAGTTAGAGCCTTAAGAATTCTAAAATTATTCGTTTATTGCATATATCACAGTGATACGGTATTATTTACTGGGTAGCATTTTGAGCACAATTTGTTCTTTTATAATCGTACCAATTATAACTACACAACTCTGTACACCATCGTTTGTAGGATTGGTGAAATGTTCAAGGACTAAACATATAAATAGTGAAAAGGAAAATCTATAGAGACAAAATCTACGAAAGACAAGAGAAACCTTGACGCTTAAAAGTTATCCATACATAATAACCAATAAATATATGAAACAATTAAAATGAGGCGGATAAACGGGTATGATATGAGTAATTAATATATACACAAAGATGACAACACCAAAAAGATGGAACTTAAAACATCACTAGGGTTACCATACAAAGACCAAACTTCTGGGATTTTACATAGGAATCTTAACAAGCAACATTCAAACACCACTTAGAAAAAAATTACGTCAGTTAAAAGTACCTGTGGAGCTCACTAAACAAAACAATTTAGTTTATCTAATACGTTACAATGATCATAGTGTCAAATACTCAAGTCAAAATATTAGGCCAGGATCAATTAGATTAGCACAACACAAAGCATAATGAAGTTCAAGCTAGCACACCGTACTAGGATTAGAAGCCTACAAGAAAGCTCAAACAGACCATTACCTACAACTCGGCTAGAAATACCACCAAAAGCTACAGAACTGTCAGTGGACACCAATCTACCAACAACTGCAGAAGACGTGAATACAGTCAAGCTACTGAAGGCCGGGAAGGCAGCAAGGCTGGATGGCATTCCTCCTGGAACACTGAAAATGGATCCCGAGATCGTAGCGGATGTGCTCACGCCACTATTGCGAAAAGTTTGGAAGGAAACAAAGATACCTACTGATCGGGACACTCCTGTTTACTATCTATCTTTTGAACCATCCTTTACTCTCTTCTCTCTTTGTGTGTTACATAGAGTGTGGCGACTCGAACTGCTGCACATCTGAGAAAAGTTCTGTGTTGAATCCAGTCTCAAACTGCCAAAGAAGAAGAAGGACGACTTAGACCTCTGTAGGAATTGGCGCAGAATCATGTTCTTATCCACACCAAGCAAAAAATAAGTCGCGTCATCCTAGAAAGACTAAAAGATGCACTGGATGCAAAAGTCCTACCAGGAAAACCTGCATTCAGGAAGAGCAAATCACGTGTGGATCACATTGCAAATTTACGCATCATCAACGAACAGAGGCATAGGGTAACAGTCAAATCTCTATCTTAACTTCATAAACTTTAAAAATTCCCCCGACATTGACGACCGAAAAGCAATTTGGAAACTACTTCGACGCTATTGAGTGCCAAAATTCCTTATTAACCTCCTTCAACAATTATGTGAGTGTCACATGTCAAGCGGTCCACAAGGGAAAACTCAGTGAAGCGTTTGAAGTGAAGACAGGAGTAAATCAAGGCTAACTTCTATCGCCAGTGATATTCCTAATTGTGATGGACTGGGTCATGCGTCAGAGCGTGAGAAGCAAGAAGACAGGAATACGCTAGACCGATAAGAAGACACTAGATCTGAACTTCTCGCGTGATTTATGTCTAATATCACAAACAGTCGGAGACTTACAGGCGAAAACCCACAAACTGGCACAAGAAACAGCAAAGGCACAACTTCAAGTGAGCAAACAGAAGGCGGAGGTAATAAAAATAATCAACCAAAAACAACAACAACGACAAGCACCAACCAATAACACCAGAAATTTGAAACAGGTGACATCTTTCACCTTGCCAGGTAGTATCGTTTTAACTACAGGTAGAACGGATGAGGATATCGAAACTAGAACTGCATGGGTAACTTACACTCACATCACTCTAGTCAGACTGGAAATCTTCAGCACTCAGAATCGAGAACAAGATTCAGATTTTCAACACCAATGTTAAGTCATTTCCTCTACAGGGGTCAGACACGTGGCGCGTCACAAAAGGCATTACTAACAAGTTTCAGGCATCTGTCAATCTCCTTCGCTCTATACTGAAAGCCAGACGATCAGGAAGGATTATCAACAAGAAACTCTGGGAACGAACCAATCAATTACCTAATCCTCAACAAATATGCAAGACAAAGTGGAGATGGATAACACACACCGAGACCATCGAGTGACATAGCACGCCAGACCCTCGAGTGGAAGCCAAGTGGAAAAGGATTAGATAGGCGTTCAAAAGGCATCATGTGGGAGATCATGTGAGATTATGGAAGCTTATGGATGATGGCGGGGCAAGCTGAAGAGGACTGCGGAGGAAAACAGCAAAATGGAGACGTGTGATGAGAAATGTAATACACGCAAACTGCATAGAATTAAAAAGAAAGTCGGCCAGAAAGAAGCCATCGTGGTCGACAAATCCCTTGCAATTTCAGTGTCGATATGCCTTCTCTACCAAAACTGACCACTTACATAAATTTGGTGAAATAGCCTGCAAACTACTAATGAGTTGAATATATTGGTTCCCAGCATAACCATATGTCAATGGTTTTTACCTGTCACAATACATAAACATGCTTCTTTGGATACTCAAAATGAAGCATTATTTCTACAGCACTACCAGTGAATGGTCCATTTTGTCTTCCTTCCGAATTTCCGAATGAAGGCATTCATTTTTCCCAAAACACGGTGACTCTAAACTATAGCAGCCCAAAACCATACTACCTCCAGTGACCAGTCAGATGCGTCAGAATAAAGGTACGTTATTTGAAATAAACGTGTATATACAAGTAATGCAATGTTAAAAAGTGGTCACATAGGATAGTATTCTTGTACATCCCAGCTAGCATTTTTTTCGGGCGCATTGCAGAATTTTTGGGGCAGACTTCGGGCAAATTGCAGACTTTTTGGGGCAGACTTAGGGCAAATTGCAGACTTCTTGGGGCAGACTTCGGGACAGTGTCCCACATAAGTAGATTTACCCGAAGTTTTTTGTCCCGAAAATTCTGCAATGCGCCCGAAGAAAATGCTAGCTGGGATGTTCCAAGAAAACCTCCCAATTTCTCACAGGAGTCCTCATATTTGGGTTAAACCAACTTCTGTACATAAATTAGTTAAGGTCATCAATCCGTTTATCGAATAGCCTCGTTTTGGGCTGCTATAGTTTAGTCACCCGTTTTAGTAATCATTCACAGCTCCGAACACAATATGAAAAGTGAAATGAACAACCAATTTAGGGGCTTTCAAATCACTGACTACTGTTACTAACACATTAACGCCGTGGATTTAGAAACCATAAGCGCAAAGTGAAATCTACTGGAAAACCAAACTGTACGATTACACCCAACACATACATCGTGAGGCAACGTAAGTATGGAAATTCCCGCCACTTATACTGGCAAGTGTGCCCGATGCTCAATGCATCTTGGTGAGAAATCATAGTCTGGGAATTATCTGAAATCGTGAATTTTTTGTTATAGAGGATTTTAAACTATATATATCCATTTTCAGTTGTATGAGTAATTTATACCTCTGTCTACTACTTATTGAGATACTCATATGACTAAAAGTGATCGTAAATAATGGCAGTGTTCGTTTGTCAGTTCCAGTGATCCTATGTGAGAATTCCGCCCTCACCACGAAGATATGTGCCGGCTCTTGGTACTAATATTGCGTGTAAGTCAGATCGAAGTGATCTGGGTATCGAACACAGTACATGCAGTCATGCTATTTCTCTGGCTTTCTTGATTTTCGTCTACGGCATAAAGTAGACTGGATATTATGACCTGAATATTTTAGATCTCTAGAGAAAACTGCTGTTGTGTACTCTCCTGACATTGAAACTCGACTAGGGATAAAGCAAGTAGATCAATTAGACAAACTTCTGCGCTGTTTCCGGAGGATTAAAGTGATTTAAGTTTTATTTCAAAGACAACGCACCCGACAGGGCACTTACGCTATCCGCGATTTCCTTTGTTCCAGTTCTTACGCCAACCCAGCCTTTTGATTTTAATTCGGTATAAGCAGTAGTTGAAGGACAATAACTTGCGTTGTATGCAGAGTACTCTGTGTAAAAGTCAGTATCCCTATATCTACCTAACTATATTCAATGTTCAAAGCTTTAAAGGCTATGCGGTCTAAGGGGAGATATTTAGAAGCCGCTACAACTAACACATGTCAGAGAAGCTTGACTCGTCACACAAATCCAGTCAGGAGAAGTTAATTCAATTAAACCTCAGTATACTCCTCAGTCTACAAGAAAGTTTCTATGAATACTTTTGAAAAATATACAAATCCCACTTCCTAGTGAAATAACACTGGATGTAATGTTTTGGCTGTCATCAAAAGCTTCAATAACAGAAGCCTCACCTCAGAGAACATTAGAATGACGAGAATAAAACTTGGCCAGTCTTATAAACCTTTTCTATTTTCTTTTCATTGGCTTACTTGAAATATTTTTGATTGCACTTTGAACAGAAGCGGACATAATAGACTGTCAGTGTAGTTGGAGAACGAACGATCAATTCATGGTTGTTTGCTCAAACACAACCCCATATTTTTCGTGGAAGTCATCGATAGTGCAGTCATCATTTCATCGTCCGCTGTTAGTTGGAGGAAAGAGAAAAATTATCAGAAGTATTATTGTGATTTGTTGTTATGACATTCATTCTTAGACTTTGTGTACAATAACCTAATGGTTGGCTCTGTATTGGTGCAAGAATAAAGGGTTCTTGAGTCACCAATTTATGTTCTGGTTTTTGCTTTGGTTATTGACGTAGTTACTGAAAGACTTCCAAGGACAGTGTGAAGTCCAGCGTAGTTATAACTGGATATTGACACTTGACATTGACCGGCATATTCACTTTAGATAAGTTGGTGATGTGAGGTACTTGTCGTTTACTAACTTGTTTCATCTGCTCTGAGTGAACAGTTCTGTTTTAGACAAGGTAGGGATTATAGGAACCGTCTGAAATACCAATCATTATTTTGGACCTGTGGTTAGAGAGCGCATCTTGCGACCAGATCACTGAAATATTTCGTCAGTGTCTTCTTACTTTGGTGCTACTCCAATGGCCAACCAGTTGAAATATTTATTTTCCGTGGATCTAAACGAATAACCTACCAATCCGAGCAATCTATTTTTCACTGCTCCGGACAAATTGTAATGTGGTTTGTAATGTATAAATATGACGTGATTTTTGTAACAAATTTGTGACCTAACTGTTCCAGGCGAATGATTGTCTTTCGATATTTTCTTGGCTAGGTGAGACGGAAGGTTCTAGTGACGAATAAGCGTACGGTGTTACCAAACGCGCGTATAATTCAAGTCAGTCTCGTAAACTGTACATTGGCTCATATCAACTGGAGAAAGATTCATAGCAATGGACTTCTTGAAATATTTTTTTCCATTTTGTCTACTGCTATAACCGGGATATATACTGTTGGTTGTTTAATTCGCGGTGATGACAAAGTGCCAAGTATACTAATAAGGAAACAATTCGCGTTTTGTCACGTGTACAAGCCTGCAAACAGAAATTTCCTAAAATTAAGGCTGGAGTAGCATACATTATAGATGTTTTTAAAAACAATGCTTTTATATGTTCGTGATCTTCCTGGTCTATTCATCAAGCGGCATGCGTCCAATCACCTCAATTCATCATTCGTTCCTGTTGTCCCCGTTTGTCAGCGCACAATCCAGGAAAATTTAAGTGCGAGAAACGGGTGAGGATAAAGGCTATATTGGTGTATTTTTGCACATTGCAAGGATTATCGTGTTCATGCCTATAGAGGCGTTATAGGCATTTCTTTTTGTAGAACGGAGTATTTTTGATTAGTTTTAGGCTTCTGCAGTTGAAAAGAGATATTTTCTTGCATTATGTTCGTATTGATGCGTAAAACTGTCCTGGTATCCCATACGAATTAATGCGAAGAAAGGCGAAGAAATTGTACATATAAATGACTTTTACTTTTATAATAGAGGCTTTTGTACTTCTCAGTGAATGAAACACAAAACGAGATTCTTTTTACTGACGTTTCGCTACTTAATACTAGTAGCTTTCTCGGAGTATTAGTTTCACTTTCGTTTAGGAGCGTTGAAAGTTTGATGTTTGCTAATGGTTTTTTATAATTCCAGGTTGTAGATTGACTACAGACAATGGCAAATGCCATAGCAGTTAATCTATTAGATATAGTCATTTGACAGAAAATTGACCCATAATCATAAGTCAGATATGTGTACTGAGGAGCATGAGCATTTTTATTTTCACTCATGAAGAATGAAATCCTTGAAAATCCATCCAAGAAATTTTACGGTGAAGGAGTAAAGCGGCCGAAATTTGCAGTGATTATGAGCATTTTTATGAAGTTCATGCTTTGAGTTGTTCAGCTTAGGATGTGATACTAGCGGAATTTACACTGTCACCTGGAATTTCGGATGACCGTAACTGCTTACCGCACAAAGTGGTATTGACATATCTGGATATCGGTGTGCATTTGGATAAGTACGATACTATGCATAGCCCTTCGGAAATATCACACAGCTTACAGTTAGTACTGCGTTTGTGTCGAAGAGTAGCCTGGAAGTCCCTCCTACTGTACTAGAATACTAGTATACGTATTGCCTAAGTCATATAATTTTTAATATTCATTCACTTTCAGATCACCAATTTATTTGGGATTTCTTCAGGAGATAACTTTGTCAGTGATAGGTATGGAAGTTGCGCTTGCTACTGATATGTTTTACCATATCTGAAGTGGTATTTGGTCTGGAGGGACCCCTTGAAATTCATTTTGAAACGTGAAAGGATATGTAGTTATATGTGGCATTATCACTTAAGGCACAAAGGAATCCGACTTAAAATTTTCTGGCGAAGTAGTGCCAGTTGTACAACTGTTTGATAAGAAAACTGTTGAGAGGAAATACTTAGATTGTATACAAGTAAGAGTTGCCGACGATTTGCTTACTGCTGCATTTTAGACGTGTGAACAATCTCCCCAAGATAAAACTGACACGTAAATATGAATGCATCGTCTGCTTGCTTGACAAGGAATGTAATTTAAGTGACAGTTGAAATCATAGAGGAATGCTGTTATAACCACAGAAGGAGAAGGAGAATGAACCGTTGGGAGAAGACGTCTTGAAGTAAAAACTTATGCAACTTTTATATTTCTTTCTTCTAATTGTGGTAAAACCAAATTCAAAAGTAAGTATGACGAAAATTTTGACAAAATTATACAAGAAAATAAGGTACGAAAATAATGGGTAAACACAATGAATCCAAAGACGCCAACTGATATGACGCAACATATATATATATATACAAACGGTGCACATAACCTCGCTGATAATGTCTTGATGGAATTCCTTTGAAGAATTGCATGTCTTACACCAGTACGCCTACAACCCTTCTCAGGTTGATGCCCTAGGTTGGAAAATCGCCGCAGAGTTCATTTGCTGACTTCCTTCTATCAGCTATATCTTCAAATCTGAACGGTAACGCGCCCATGTCATTGTATCGTAGAATATAGATGACTGACAAACACACGACGTATCTGGTCAACCAAGCGTAGGCACAGAGTAATTTACACCAGCGATAATAACATTCAAATAGTAACTTGAATCTTGAAAGGTCTTTATTCATGCAAGTCAGTTTAACAATTACACTCTCATACACAGTTGGTTTATCCTCCCTAAGCTGACCATTGACTTTCGTCCTTTCAAACGGACTGACACTAGCAAAGTCTTAGCATGAGACACGTGAGTTCATGGACGTCCCCTTCATTGTGGATGACAACACCAACGACGACTGAGCGATACAAGTTGTTGAACTTATCGGCGCATCAGAATCTGTTGCTGTTCGGCCATTAGAAGGTTGTCTAACTGCAAGATTACCACCACTGCTGTATTTTATCATTAGCTCCAGTTGAACCTTAATATCTTTCGATAGGTGGGCCACACGCTGATCATTTACACTGACGGTCCCATGAGTATCCATACCTTCTACCACCGCATCTGCCTTTAATTCTACTTCACGTTCGAGTTGTACGGAACCTTTGTTCAACTCAGCAGTAGTAGGCATTCCGCTCATCTCATCATGATCAGCCAAAGACATCATTGTCACAAATATCTACTTTGCCACTGTTTGTGCGGTCGACTCCATCCATTTCAAATTCTTTACTAACAGCAGTTGATGATTTGGGTTCTTCCTCGCAAATCCTCAAGGTTTTTATGCCTTTACTTTGACTAGTTATACCTTGTAAACTTGTGGAATCAGAACTGGACTCTGAAACTATAACTCTCGTCTTCTGCAGAAACTGCGGTGTCGTTTGTGACACTCACTTCAACAATGGCCTACCAATTGCAAATACAGGCTTCTTCACCCCACCA